ATAGTTTTCCACACAGAGGCTGCAGTTTGTCTTTGTAAAGAAGCAAAGACAAACTGCAGCTCTGATACTCTATAAGAGCACCAAGTTCTGTCGCCTTTCCAGGGATTCTCAATTGAATTTAGGTCTAGATTTTTATTGACAATGCCGTATTTTGATCTAAAATATTCCATTCTATTTTATTTGTTGTCCTGCTACATAGTGAACCTCCATCTGAGTTTCAAGGCTTCTGTAACCTTTAACAGGTTTTATGAGGATTGCTAGATAGTAATTAGCACCGTCCATCTTCTCTTTAGGTCTACACATTTTCCCTGCCCCTCATATAGATTGAATTAGGCTGGAGCTTAAGGAGACATTTAAAGAAAGCAGACCAAGCCAAATCCTTTACATGATTTAAATAAATAAAAGAAGAATTGCTGGAGGAGGAGTTCCACATGTAGAAATCACATAAATTAGCCCCTTTTTCTACCATTTGCTTCATACAAATGGAGGCATGGACTCTGTTGAAGTTTTAAAATTGACCCAATCGCTAATATTTGGCTGTGATGAATGTAATGCTCACCCTGATGAAGCTTACCAGAAATTGTGTGCACTGCAAACAACCCTATGGGGAGTAGAGCCACAACGTCTTGGCAAACATGGACTGAATGGCTTCACTCACTTCCTCCGCTGCCATTGCCAAACTTCAACCACAGGACGACAAAATTTCTAAAGCATGGAGAAATGGACATCATCATTCACCACTCCACCTTCTGTTTGGTGTTTGCCCTGCTTGAAATTCAACAGAAGAAATGTAGCTCAATGGGGGGAATATTAGACGGAGAACTGAAGGGAGATGAGAATTGAGCAGAATTGCATAGGAAGGCAATTTTATGCTAAGGTGTAAGATTGAAGTGGGAGTGGTTTGGTCTTTTAAACCAAAATGTAATTGTATCATGTTGGACAAAAGGTTGGAGAAAGCTCCATGAGATGAGCAAAACTTAAGTTACTGTATGTTTGTTTTTTATCTAACTGTGCTATAAGATTACTCTCGACCTGTTTATTCACTAATATTCTTCAGGAATAAAACCTTTCTTTGTGTGACAATGTCTTTTTTTTTTTTGTCAGTTTTACAATTATGTGTTTCTTTCTTTTGTTCTGTAACACAAAAAAGAAAATGCAATGAATTTTGAGGTTGCAATGTGAGCATGTGTAAAAGTTAAAGTTGATTTATCAATTTTCCGACACATTGAAAGTTGTCAACTGCATTTGATAAAATCATGAAATCAAAACACAGAGGAAAGCTGAAGAGTTCAAATATAAATGATGTAAGCAAGCCTCACTGTCTAAGAGGAAATATACCACACTATGAAAGCCAAGTATAGCAGAAACTATCTCCAGCCTACCACTCATGTGCAAAGCTAATTAATAATTTCTTAGCTGATGTCCTCTGTGAAAGACATCAGAGGGTTGAAACACGTCACTGGGTCTCTGTTGCGTACACATTTCTGCAAGCAGAGTTCGGCAAGGCTTTTCTAGAGACCTCTAGGCGTTTCTACTTTGATGAGATGCTGGTAAAGGAATTGGGAGGCCATGAAATGCAGAAGGACTGAAGGGGATTAACATTGTTTAAGTCTTATACTGTATTTTCACATTCCCTTAATCAACTCAGCGTGCGCTTCAGAAGAAAGCTTTGCATGTTGTGTAATTTTATAATTGCATTAATTGAAAGAACTTTTCTGTTTTTATTCGCTCCAAAAATGCCAGTTTTCCTCCAGTAAGTGATAATGTGCGTCATTCAGAATGAATACACACACCACCAATGCACACATAAACTCTGAGTTCTCGTTTGCAAAGCCAGCAACACAGAATAAATGTGTGGAAGATTTTGCTGTGAACCTTGCTTGAATTTGTGCTGAAGACCAGAGCAGCTCGACAAAAAATACACACCATGTTATTAACACAGAGATGATAAAGACTGCAAAACCAAAAGCTCAACAAGGAATAAAGGAAGGAGGGCTGATTTATGGCAAGGGAACTAACCACTGGTGTGACTCTCTGGAGACAGGACCAACTTTAATTTTATTCTAGTGACACTTAACCTAACCAGGAATAACATGAGCCAATGAGACTTGAACTTCCCTTGGGAAGACTCCCTCAGGAAATTATAGTTACCAGCAGCTCACAGGCAAAAATGTGGCACACAGTAAGCATACACTAAAGAATACAAAAAAATACAAATTAAATACAAAACAAAGAATATAAATACAACACAAAAGGAAATTATAGCAATTTGGTCGATAGATTGACCAGTGATATGGTATTGCACTGTATGGTTTGGCCTGATAAATATGGAGTTCACATTTGTAGAAAAACTACTCCTTCTTCCCTCTGTCCTGTGTCACCTCCGACCCCCCAGTGAGGAGTTGTACAGTCTGAAGGCGTGGGGGACAAAGGAGTTCTTGAATCTATTGGTCCGGCACTTGGGAAGCAGCAGTCTGTCACTGAACAGGCTCCTCTGGCTGCTGATGACGGCATGTAGAGGGTGGCTGCTATCGTCCATGATGTCCAGCAGTTTGTTCAGTGTCCTCGCCTCTGCCACCGTCACCAGAGAGAGTCCAGCTTCATGCCGACCACAGAGCCGGCACGCCTGATCAGTTTGTCCAGTCTGGACGTGTCCTTTTTGGATGTGCTGCCTCCCCAGCACACCACGGTGTAGAAGAGGACACTGGCGATCACTGACTGGTAGAACATACACAGCAGTTTGCTGCAGATGTTAAAGGACCGCACTCTCTCAGGAAGTACATCCTGCTCTGCACCTTCCCGTACAGGTGGCTGGTGTGTTTTGACCAATCCAGTTTACTGTCCAGCCACAGCCCGAGGTACTTGTAGGAGCCCACGACCTCAACCTCTGTTCCCTCTAGTACGACTGGTCTCGGCTTTGGTCTGGACCTCCCAAAGTCTATAACCAGCTCCTTCGTCTTAGCGGTGTTGAGTTCCAGGTGGTTGTGTGGCACCAGAGAGCAAAGTCCCTCACCAGACAGCGATATTCCTCCTCTCCGTCGTCCCTGATACATCCACTATGGCTGTGTCATCTGCATACTTCTGTATGTGACACAGCTCCGAGTTGTAGCGGAAGTCAGAGGAGTACAGGGTGAAGAGAAGAGGGGCCAGCACTGTGCCCTGAGGGGCTCCTGTGCTGCTGACCACAGTGTCAGACACGGTGTCCTTTAGCCTGACATACTGCGGCCTGTTGGTGAGGTAACTATGGATCCAGGTGACCAGGTGCTGGTCCACTCCCATGCTATTTAGTTTGTCCTGGAGCAGAAGGGGCTGGATTGTATTAAAGGCACTGGAGAAGTCCAAGAAAAGGATCCTCACTGTGCCACTGCCCTTATCCAGGTGGGAGTGGGCCCGGTGCAGTAGGTAGAGTTGTATTTTTAACTAAACTAAATGTTTTTACGTGGGAATGACTTGTCACAAAATTTCTGTTCTGTGCTACGGCTGTAATGATGCACTTGCAGGTGTCCATCTGCCAAAATCTGCTGTTTTTCCTGCACATATTGACTGTTTTGTCTGCTCCTCAATTCATTCTGGCTTCAAGTCAGACTTGTCACAGTTTATTATTATATTCCTGGAACTCAGGAATCTTTCAAAGGTAAAATCACCAATTTTAATGTTTGCAGTAATCATTCCTTGATTTAAGCCTAAATGTAAATTATTGGTTAAGGTGGATGTTTTTGAAGGGACGTGTTTTTGAATAATAACTAAAATTGAAAAACTTAGGGAACGCTCAGTATCGGTCTATCTTCTAATGCTTTGTAATTTTCCCGCTGCCTCTCTTACACACTGTGAGCCTTTTCTCTCGCTCTCATTTCTTGGTACTTCTTTGCACCATTCAACACTTAGACTCATGCGTCATAGTCTTTTTCTTTGAAAGTCAGCTCACAGGCAGTCCATGTCATGATGACATTTCGTACCCAGAGCTTGGATGCACCTTAATTTGAATTCACATATTTTCAAACCATTCTTCCTCCTGTACGTTTCATTGACATTTTATCAATGAAGAAGATGCTTTTATAAAATAATTAACAAGAAGTTTTATACTGGGAAAAGTTTATATATCGATATCAGTTTACATGTGCTACATTCGGGTGTAGGTGTATTCAAGCAGCATGAACTGGGGAAAACAATGGAAAAGTAATCTTTTTGTGAAATAAGTGAGGGCCACCTTTGAGGTCTTGCTCATAGTAAGTGCAAGAAATCTATATAGCTGCACAAAGGTGTTGGAAATTTGCCACCGACAAGAAAAAAGGAGAATTCGATGACAATGTTGGAGTTTTCACTCTGAAATTTATAGATGGAGAAAGACAAAGTTTTTTTTTCTCCATAATGAAACGGCTCAAACAGCACTTTATATTTTGATTTTGCTTCAAGTATTATTAGAGAAACCTGGAGATATTTGCCACCAATCTGATGTTATTTTATGAAATAAAGTTTCCTCTTTAAGGTTTTAATTTGCCTATACAAAAATATAGAAAAAGACATGAGATACATGATGGAAAATTCTGAGAAACTAGAATTTGAAAGTCCAAGGTGTTGGTACATAAGTGTCAGACCTCAGCTTGTTTCAGTGGATAGAGTAGTTGTCAAGAAGCTTAGTTTTCCAGATGAAAAGTAAATTATATGCAAATCCCAACACTATTTTAAAAGCAGCATGTTGGGATAATGAGCTTTGATTGTTATAAAATTAGACAATAGGGGAGCAGGAGTCTGGCTACTAAATTTCAGCAAATAGTCTACTATATGGCAATTTAATTGTGCGACAAAAAAAAAAATCTTGTCACTCAAAATGCTTAAAATGCTAGCTAATCACACCTGCACTTCACGTCAAACACTTGAGGAAGACCTGTGAGGTCACGCTCCTGCTAAACATTTATCTTAACATTTTTATTTTTTTAGACCAGTATTTGTAACATTTTCTAACAAAATAATTGGCATCTTTCTGTCCCCTCACACTGCAGCTACAGAGAGGCCACGGAGGACGGGAACATAGTTTCTCTGAATAGGTGGAAGGAGACAAGGACGCAAATTCTGATCCTCGCATCCATCAGCAAGGGGAACGAGTGTCACCAGAGCTGCAAGGATGGCTACTCTTCTGTTGGTGGACCTTGAATGTGTTTACTGTGCAAAAAAATATTTTCTGCCTTTTAGAAAGCATTTGTTCCAACATAGTTATTTTTGCTTTTGTGAGATCTTACTAGTTTTTGGGGCTTTTCAAAAATGAGACCCAAAAGAATAAAAAAGACTATCAATAATAAAATACACTTATTTTTCCAGCTCAGTGACAATCGCTATAAAATATCACTATAACACATGGAATATAATAGGAGTGCGTGCACATCCATGTCACCGTTGTCTTTATGACAATCATACTTCTACATCTCTGAGGTGAGTGCCGTTAAAAACTTGATAAATATGTCCCAGCTGGTAGCTCAGTTTTTGTGCGAAATGCTAAAACTGTGTCGATTTTACAGACATGGATTCAACAGCTCTCAGTTAACCTATTCATGTATTGTACCACATGACATACAGTCGAATTAACCAGAAATCAGACGTATTGATGAACAAGAAGCTTGTAAATTACCACCAGTACAGTTCATTATGAAGCTGATCACCTTCAGGTATTTATGATGCACTTCCTGGCTCTCATACAAAAAGGCCTGTTTTCTGGTCCCCTCACCACATTCACAGCAGTGCAACCAGACTTCCGCCTTATATTGAAACGTGTTAGTAACATAAAAGTTTATAGTTTGAGATATAAGAAGATATGGGTCAGGAGAAACAGATTAAAGGTTCACCCAAACCACTTTCTCTGCCTATCTGATCTTTTGGCCACAATGTCCTACAAGCTTGATTCAAAGGAATGAATTTGAATCTTCTGCTGAATTTAAGTTCAGCAGAAGGCTGACTCACCAATTGCACAAAGGTGCACAAAAGTGTGCTGAAACAAAAAACGTCTAAAACGTGCAGGGCAAAAACACTAAAAGGAGCCAAATAAGATAAATAAAGAAAAACATTTAGCTCTGAGACACCCTTCACAACAAACACGGGAGCTTTTAACTAATAGAGCATTTGAAAAAAATAAAATAAAATGATGCTGTTGGTATTGGTGTCCTTCAGTGTTCACAGTGATAGCAACAGCTTATAATGTGTCTATTAAAAAATACACTGAACCATTAAAGAAATAATGATGACAAAAAAAACATCAGACTCAAAATAATTTGCATTTGAGTTTTTTGACAGTCTTTTAGTTATTCATAGGAATTAAGTTACACTACTGGCTAAATATGATTTTACAGTAGCTTAATAAATATGCCCATTATTATTATATATTAAATTATACAAAAGATTAAAACATGTTGGTTTTTATTTCCTACAAGAGGAAGCACTTGTCTTGTCTCCTACTCCAAGGCTTCTATTGAAAATATACTGTAAGAGCTTATAATCTTTGACACCACCATCAGGCTCGTAATACAAAATAATGAACCAGAAAACTGAAATTAATTTATGGGCTTTAGTTTGGATTTAGTTTTTCACCATATATTATGTGTGTGCATTCTTGTGATTGTGTGTTTCTGTTTATAACCTTTGTCCAAATCTCTACATAACTATAAATCCCTTCTTAAACACAAAAGTCTTTTTTTTTCATCTTGTCTTCTTCTTTGAATAAGACAAAGAATCCTAATCCTTCTCTGAATTTCTTCACAAATGTAAACCCTCACGTGTTTACTGTGTTCCATTGTCTTCACAGTTCTCCTTATTCCACAATTATCTCTAAAAATATGACATACATGGGACAGATTTGTAAATTGCTTGTCTTGTAATTGGTAATTGATCCAACTGTATTCTATTTTCAGGGTAAAAGAGTTAAAGGGGCATCATACAAACGTACATATGTACAGACTGTATACACATGACTGTAAAAGAGATCACATTACTGACTTAACAATGTTTAAAACCATTTGTTCTCTTTTCACTTTACATTGTGCGCTGTGTTGTGTTTGAAATTTATAACATTTCAAACATTTTCAGTTGTATTATGAATTTGCCAAGGATCTGCAAATGAAGTGTAATAAATGGAACAACCATACGGTCTGAACAGTGGTGCATCACACACAATTTGTCAGCAGGATTCCAGCAGTGAAAATACAGTCCCTTTTAAAATGGGTCCACAGTTAACCATTACATTTCCTGTAATGTTTGGAAATGAGGTCATTTTGCTGGGAGTAAATACAGGCACAGAAAGAAATCCGGTCCTAGCGGAAATTTTCTGGATATGGAGGGGAATACTCCAGGAGTGACTCATATGTCTGGTTGATACAAAGAGTATAAGCGTGTCTAACATGGTTATGCATTCGAACGGAAACATTTAACGCAACATTTACATTCATGCTGTTACAGCAAAGTGCAGACGACATGAACACTGAACATGGCAGCAGCTCCTAACCCAGACTACTGATTAAGGAAAGGCATCTGCAAACCTGAAAGTGATCTATGTATGGAACACATCTCTTCATTTTATGGTGTTAAACATTTCAAGGGTGACTATTAATGAGGTGCTTTTGGAGTTAGCAGACCTTTTGCATTCCAGTGATTCTTAAGAGAAAGCACTTGTGTCCAAGTTCAGTGTAAGACACAATGGGATCTCTCATAGCTTGTCTTCCAATGTGCTTGTTTTCTTTCTGTCCCTGTCTTCCTCCTCCCCTCAGTGTTATTCTCACCTCCAGCTTCCAAAACTGCAGCCTGGCTGACTCATCACTGGCCTCGCTATTAGGCTCTTGCCAACAAGCACTGATTAAATCATAAAGGAAAAGAAAAAAGAAATATTATTGAACACACTGGGCCCTATGCATGTGCCAGTAATTGAATGCCATAAACAAAGAGATAAAACCTGTGCAGGCAGCTGTTGGAGCTTTCTTCCAAGCCCTTTCGTTTTGAATAGTCATTTCTTTCCAGTGTATAACATCAAATAAGAGAGTGGACAAGAGACAGCAAATGTGCTTTATGGTCTAAATTCAACAGTGACCACAAAGAAGATATCTGCTCACAAAGTTGTAGTTATTAATTTCTTACCACTAGAGGGCAGAATAACTTTAAAACAAACTGATATTTATAGCCCTAAATTATCCTTAACTAATTTTTTTCTCAAACACAGATGATTTTCTACATGCAAAAAATGCAAAGCAGCATTTCCATGTTTTGCCAGAAGTATTTCTTCTATTTTCTGTAAAGTAAAAAAAAAAAAAAACATTTGCATTGATATTCCTGTCACCCACCCATCAGCATTTTATGTACATAAAAATAAGCAGTTTGCTTTTTCTCACTTGACAATTGTTTTGCGGTGATGCAGAGAAACTAAGTAAATGAAAAGAAGTGAACTCAACACGTGATCTAACGTTTATCCTGAAATCCTAAAACAAAGTGCACCTTTGAGGCTTAGAGACACTGCTATGAGCACAGCATTTTTGTTGGAGCCAGGTCTGAGCGTAAGCTGAGTGCAGTAACACTGTGATATTTCCTTTTTTAGTCACTTTCTTGTAGATTTACTGCTGTAACTGAGATCACTGTTACGTCTCATAAACCAGTGTGGGTAAAGCTACAGCTGTTATACTGGTGGACTCGCAATTGACCATAAAATACTTTTTTTTATTTAGAGGACTTCATATTGAATTCAGTGACTGTGGCAGGTTCAGTACCAGCAGTGGAAGGACACGATCAGCCCTCCATCACCATGCTCAACCATTGGTCAAAGGACGTTTGACGACACACAAAGTTTTTGGGAATATTTCACAAAATCTTGGTTCATCCAAACAACATCTGATTCGATGTTGTTTGGCTAAAAGACATTGATTTTGCAACCCTGCTGATATGTATCTTTACAAACCCAACTGTGCTGCCATGTTCTGTTTAGAAAGACGAGGCTTTCCCTTTGCAGCCCCTCAAATTAGATGCAGTTGTTCCGTCGTTTGCTAATTGTACTTTCATGAACTTTAACATTTAATATGCTAACTGAGTTCTGACTGAAGCTAAATGAGGTCGGCTGAGCATTACATGATCTGACCTCAGAGTGAACTTGCTGAGACCTCCCCTTTTGGGATTTTTTAAAATACCTTACATTTTTTCAACGGCTGAATATGTTTTGCACTCTTTGTAATGTTTCCTGGATTCATATGCAGCAACAGCTGTTCTCTAAGGAATTTCTTGATGTCTTGTATTCCCTGACTTTGTAATATCGCAGGGAAGGCTGGTTGACTTCAGGAAATTGCCAACACCCTCTGATTACACAAATGTGTGTAAGGTACACCAAATATATCAACCAATCAAACAGTAACACAGGCGACTTGATGAATTACGACGTCTAAAAGTGGTTCAAGCTGAGCGTCAGTCTGGCATAGAAAGGGAATTTAATTGACTTTCAACATGGCATTGTTGTTGGTGCCAGATGGAAATTGAATATTGAATGTTTACACAAAAATGAACTCCAAGGAAATTGGAGTACAGGAGGAGATGACCAGACAAAGTACCACACCTGTCAACTAGAACAGACAGCCAGCGCTGTAATTCAGAGCCTCACAAGAATTAAACAATAAGAGGCAGGAAATACACTGAAAGTCTCAATTTCAGACATTGTGATGGTAGAACCTTGTTGAACATTTCCTGCTGGTGGTCCAAAGTTTTGGTAAATACTTTCTTGGGAAATTTGTTGCTTACCATTCATGCCATTATGACCACATGTAGCCATCTCCTGCTGGTCAGCAGCAATGTGAAAATTCTCAATGTCCTCAAAATTGCTGTGGAAGAAATCAGGTTCCATTTGTGTATATTTAACAACCCTTGCATTGTGCCAAGTGTTTTGTTTTTTTTTAAGAGGTTTGGTATCACAAAGAAAGTTACATTTAGCCCAATATAAGTAATATGTAGAATTTTAAGAACTTTTTCTAAAAGTATGAAAGAATAAAAGAATTATGAATATATGAGTTACTAACCTACAAGGCAATGTAATTATCACTGACGAAGTTCAGCAGTCTTAGATGTGATGTCAGAACATGGAGACAGGCTGTGTTGCTGTAATGGTGATTGAAAGTGCCTCATTCTTCATGATCAGATAAAGATATTTGTTTCATTAGTTATTATGTATGTTGTGGGACTTATGATAATTGATTTGTTGTCTTTAAAAGATGCATAATTTCAACTTCAGTGTTTGATCCAGGGTTGTATTTGCCACTTCACATTGATAGTCACAAGTTAAGCTAAGCTAAGCATAGCAATTAAAAGTTTAATTTGTCTTTGTTGGAGCCACATGATAGATGTTTTTCAGGGATGTTGTTGGTGTGTAAAATGGACTCGGGTAATCTGTTTGTTTGGGTTTAGGCACCAAGACAACTTGAAAAACATTTTAGTTTGGCTTGAAAGTATTAAATTTTTTAACGCTATGAATAAAAATTAAGAAAAATAAATTTTGTTTTTTTTATTTATTCTGATTTTTGCATGAGCTCTCACGATTTGATTATAAACGATATTCAATCTGACAAATAAAAGAGATGACTGTTTTGTAAATCGTGAAAAGCCGAGATCATACGTCTCGTCGTGACTTAAAATAATTGGGTTTTAAGAAAAGCGCACTTTCTGTTTGACTGAGAGTTGCTGAGATTTTCAAGAGCAGTGCAACATAAATAGATGGTACGTTTCAAGTTGTGTGGGGCACAGACAACAGCAGCTCTTTGATTCTGGGAACACCTCTGGCTTTTCATATCTTTCCCTCCCAGTTTTGATCTAAGTAACATAATCAGCTGTCCCAAAATAGCTCTTCCTATTCATTTTCAGGTCTGTCTGAAACACATATTCAAGCACCTGCCTAAATACTCTTTAGTTATTCATGTCAGATGTGTTATATGCGCAACGTATTTGTCTTTGCTGCCAATCCGGTTTTCAATTCCTACAAACTTTTCCTATAAATATGCATGCAATCATCATCATATCAGATCTCCTCTGCAGTTCACACAGACATTTGACAACCATTTGTTACGGATTGTACCTTTTGCATTGGCATCTCAATTTCATTATAGTTTGTGTGCACTGAAGTACAATGGAGAATGAGAGCTGCTCCTTGTAATAAGGCAGGAGGGATGAGTCATCAGTGGAAGAGTTGCTTGGAAATAGGGAAAGTGGAGACTGTGGCCTCTGGCTGAGATGAAAATCTCTTGTTCTCAGAAACAAGCACAGTCCTGTGCAACTGAGGTGCCCCACAAGGACTACTAGATCCCTTGCCGTCTCATTTGAGTTGCACTCATTTTAGAGAATTAATTATGGTTATCATACCTATTGGCTGCAATTCTGATGGGTGAGTCATTCTACATATTAATGAAGACAATATTCACAAAAATAATCATTTTTATGAAAATAATACTTTTAACACTAAGATGAAACCAGCTGGATACTTAGTGTATGGAAAACTATCTGGAAATATGTAACGTGTTCCCTGACTTTTATTGTGGAAAACTTTTCTCAATAGTAGTTTTTGAATGTCTTACTTGGAGTAGATGACCGTCTGGATAATCTCAGTTAGAAGAAACCAAGGGACTTTCATACAGTTGTAAGGGAGTTAAAGCAACTTTCATTTTGTTATTTCCATTTTGTAACTGATTTTATCCAATTTTACAGCCTCACCTCAAATTTCCACATCCCCAGTTTTAATCTCATCTCAATCCTCCTCAGCCAAGACCTGAACTATCACACCAACAACCTGGATGGGACCACAACCATGTCAGTCAATGTCCTGAGCACTGCCTCCACTCAAGATTATCGTAGATTTTGTTACCATCTTCACAGAGGGGACCAAAGCGAGTCCTTCTGCTCAAGCTCCTGTTCCCTCTCAAGTTCTCCTTCCTGTCTTAAACGAGGGGCTCCATGACCATCCGCCTCTCTTTCAAGATCCAAAGAAGGAGCTAAGAGGGTATTCTTCCTCTTTTCAATCTCTGAAAAGAGGGTCCAGTTGTGTCCCATCTCAGTCCCTTGTAGCCCCCATCATCTGGTTTTATGGCTGCATGTGCTGTAAAATGGCTGCTTTCTGTTGTTGACTTACCAGGCAGGAGG